TTGAGCCCTTTGGCATTGTATAACTCTTTTTAGTAATCAATCTTGCACTACAATAGTCAATACATCAAATATGTATTTTTATTGGCTAGGTTATTACAACCTCTATGCCAGTGTGGTTGCATTTATAATAAAAAAACAATTTGATAAAAATGATTTTCAAAAACATCTTATATAACAGATTTCATTTCTTCTTTGTACTCCCAGGTCCTTTGAAACAACCACGGATAAAAACCTTGAACGACCGAGAAAAGAAACAAAATGCTTGTCAGAGGACGTATATATACGTCCTCGGTATCTGAGGGTCCTATTTTAGGACGTATATATACGTCCTTGGCATTCAAAGGGTTAAATTGGGACTGAAGCCTCTTTATTCTAAAATCAAAATTTGAAAGATAGTGAAGTGGGTTCTGGCACCCTTACCTGTCATTTTGTTTCTTTAGCTGGTACTTTTTTTAATCCCCCATCTTGATTGAAAACAGAACAACTTTATGAGTCCATTTAGTAAAGCGTCCTTCAAGAAATAGGCAGTGGTTGAGTTAAGATAAGCTGATAGTAACTGTCAGTTAAACTAATCATGTGCTTTGATAGCTTCCACAAGTGGCATTCCATGTAGCTTCAAATTTTCTATGTCTATTGTAAGGAAATTCAGGTTAACTTGAGAATTTAGCAGTATATCACAAATCACTGATGGCTTTCCAGGCATGCACACCTTCAGAACAATTTTAGATCGTATATACTTGTTTAATAAAAGTGTTATGAGCAAGATTGCTAACCTATAATAGCCTCTAACCTGTAGTAACCTATAACCTATAACCTAATATAACTGTGAATATATGAAAATCATGTTTAACTTAGTGAACTGCATTCAACATGTAATTGTAATCTGACTGAAATAATTTCTTGAATTTTCTCTCTCTTGAAGTGGCTATTGGCCTCATTGTTCAACACATAAAAGACATTCTGAATGGAAACAAGAGCAGTCGATCTGAGGATAATCGTGAGCTTGATCGTCGTCAAAGATGCCTCTCTGACTCAAGTATGAAATCATCCAGACCTCACTGATGACCTGAATTTATCCCAGACATACCCTGCCTGGTGCTGAGTATCTTTTTGTAGCAGTTTGCAGCATTTATGGGATAGATAAAAAATTAGTTTGAAAAGCCACATGTGAAGGCAGCCTTAAGATGTGAATTTCTATGCGAGGAAAAAGCACATTAATTAACATAATTTTTGTTTTTTGTGTAATGGAAGTGCCAAACATGCAAGTTGAATGATGAAGTATCTTCAGTTGCAATGAAATAACTAAAAGCTGATTGAAAGTATATAACTGTGACTTAACACTCTTCTCTGGTTTTCAAAAGCTAATTGTAACTTAAACTAATCGTATACATATTTTAAAATTTTTAAGTAAATCAAAAGCTAATCTAAATAGCTTGGATATACTAATTTTTTTTAGATTTTATATTTTAGTAAGCATTAGTCAGATTTTAAGGTGCTCTTTTGATGGTAACAACCCAATTTTTTCCACCTGACAGCCAATAATACCACGTAGCAAAATCAGTTACTACATGAATTAAAGGCTGATAGTTTCGAAAGAAACTGTTTGGGGCTGCGTCGGTGGGAGTAACAAAATAATTTGGATATATCAACGACGACGAAGGGCTAATGCTCGAAACGTCAGCCTTTGTAA